GTATACTAAAAAGTAGATTAAGTACTGCATGGCTTGATGATCTTATGGAAGAATGGGAAAAAACTTATAATCAATTCATACAAATTTTTAACTAGATACAATGCATAAACCATTTTCCGCGATCACATGGGGTTGCTCCCCTGGGCTCCATGTCGCATGCACATTATTACAATTAAGTTTTATTTGACTTCGAATATATTAATGATAAATAAAACGTATATCGATACAATTATCTGTGACATGTATGTCACGAGGGTGCAGTATGGCGCAGTAATTATTTTGTATCTTTATTTCTCAAACATTTTACAATTATAAAATCTATATCGCTCTGGCTTAAGTTTGAAATAGAATATAACGAAAATGATCTAATTAGTGCTATTTTTTGTTTTGTTATTTTTTCATCACCATTAATGATAGCAGTAAAAAGCTTATATATTTTTCGAGCTCTTTCTATTCTCTTTCGCAATGCAGTATCGCTCACTTTTGGAATTTGTTTCCTAACGTCATCAAAAACTAAAGCATTGGATACTTCTTTACCATTATCTTTTTTGTACTCTTTATATCACTTATATAACCCTCCACCTAAATCAAAATAGTTATTAATTACCTCTTGATTTGTGATTTCGTTCCTAGATTCAGTGTAATCAATTTTTTTGAATAAATATAAAAAATTAATACTACTCCCTTCTAGGACACTCTCTTCAACAAATTCGTCAATCTGCGGATGAATATAGTTAGATAGCAATTCATCAATAAGTTTTTTCAAGTTCACCAATTTTTCTCTATTGACCGGTTTGGTAAATTTTGCTTTTTTACTAGGCGATTTATCTAGCATCGTGGATGTCTCTTCACTAGTAACTTCAATAGGTCTTTTTTGGACTCCCTCCGCTATATCGCCACCTATTCCCTTCAAATTATCTTTATCTTTATTCGCCCCATTATCTACATCCGGCATCTCCTCATCAATAATTTCCTGAGATTGGATAGTAAGTTGCTTTCCCATCTTCCCAACTATTGACGAAGTGCTGAATTGAGAATCGGGCTCAGTAAACTCCTCAAGAATTTCAACGCTTTTACCGCAGTCGGGGAATGGACACATTTGTTACTTGGTAAGTAAAAGCTTTTTCTCAATGCAGATTCTATGATACGTGTGACCACAAAGTAGGACTGTGAATGCTTTATTGGGGCTGGCAAAAATTTTCTTATCGCATTCTATACAGTTAGGCAACTCGGTGAATTTCTTATTTTTAACTGTATCGTCATTGAAGTTTTTTAGGATAGTATATGCGAGATTTTTAAGATTAGTAGCTGAGACTTTTTCTGTTCTCAGCATAATGGCCACAACAGATAAGTTCTTGAACTACGGACCTTTACATATTTTCGTACGCTTCCATATATTTGCTCATACGTCGCTCGAAAAAAATATCCCAACTCGAAATAGCATTACATCCGAAAGTTTATTATAGCAGAATCGATATGGAAAGACGAGTTTCATGATTGATGAAAAAACATGAAAATTAATCAAAAAACGTCGAATGAAGGTATATGTGAGAAATTGGATCACACAAAAACATGTGGATCTAACCTGTAAAGTGCTTATTCCTCTGCACCCACGTTATCTCAAACATATGCTTCAATCACGGGTAATGGAAACGTAATACGTAAAAATAGTTAATCTAAGTCACGCTTTATATGTCGATTAATAAACTTACCAGATGATTAATTTAT